GAAGTGAGCCACCTTTGATTGAGTAGAATCGAGCCATCAGACGCTCGAAATTAAATGCAAAACTTAAGGGTCTCGAATAGGATTTTTACAATAACTGTCTAATTTCTCGCGCGCTGATTGGCTCATTTTTATCATCAATAAGAGTACAGACGGAAAAAATTTTGATTTACGCAAGCTTTCAAGTTCTATTTTCAGCTGTCAAATTGTCAACTTTTTAACCAATGAGATTTTATGGACTTTTTTAAGTAGCCAATCAAATAGCGAGAAAAGCTATTGACAATGCTCGCGTCATTTTGAATAAAATTCACTTATCTTTGTTTATGGCAAGTTTACGACGTCTTTTCCCCTCATTTATTCCGGCATTTGACCATTTTGTTGTCTTGTTATTGTAAAAAACATATTGACGTCAGTTTTTTTATGCGTCTGTCCTCTTAGTAATAATAAATTTCGTCATAACATTGTCAGAGTTTACTGCGGAGCCACTCGCCTGCGGCTCGTGGTTCCACAGCCACTTTGACAATGTTATGACGCAATTTATCATCAATAAGAGGACAGACGCATAAAAACTGACGTCAATTTGTTAAATACACTCGCGAATACATTGCAATAACCAGTAGATTAAACTTACGCTTGTTGTAAAACAGACTATGCACATGCTCTTTGATTACCTTATCTGCCTGTTAAGACTGGTTTAATATATAGATTTAGCCAAGCCTAAAAGCGGAGCCCCTGGGCCGGGTTGTTCAAAGTCCGATTAAGCTAACCCGGGATAAGCGAGAATTTCCATTTGAGTTCTTTAACTTCGCGGTGAGATTTTGTTTTTGTTGTTTTGGTCTTCTGTTTTGGTTTAAGTAATCTCAAGAAAAAATTATACTTCGGTTAACTTTTAATCCTTGGTTAGCGTTAACCGAGTTCCGAACAACTCGGCCCAGATAACGGCAAGTTAACCTAATGTGAGGCTACGATCCAATCAAAAACCACCACTCGGTCAGCGGTCAACTTCCAAATATCACGTGATCTCGATGAGGTCTAACCTGGAGCCCTTGAAACTGATCATACTGGTCAGCGGATACCTTGTTTTGACAGGTGTCAATTGACCATAACATGGATGTCCAATATCGAAGAGGGAGGCTATAAACCAAGGCTGTACGTCTCTGTCAACCTATCAGCTGCAGTATGGCCACCATCCTGCGCATCTCCACCACCGCCGTCGTGCGAACGCGCCCATTTATTTGCCAGTCACTCATCCCTAAGGAAGAGCTAACCCTTTAAACGACCTCGTTCCCAGCAAAGGTGAGGGTGAAAACCGCTGGCGAGCCCCAGAATAAGACTGACTATGTACCGGAGGAGACGGGGTGGAGGAGGGGATGAAATTCAAGCACGATGCTTTCTTCAATCGACGTGAGGGGAGAGAAAGCGCATCGAGGCATGTGATGTCATAACCGTGCGTAGTCCCGGAAGCCCCTCAAGCGGAAGTGAGAACGGAGTCATGACAAGCACCATAAAAACCATTTATTTTACCGGGTAAAATAAATCTCCTTTTAGCCTTTTAGCCAGCCTTTGCGAACAAGTTGGAACTAGAAATTCGACTATGGCACACTACGTTAGGATATCCTAGAACAAAAGAACTGTGTTTTGGCGCCAAAATGACGTTGCGGTAAGTTTTGCAGCCTTTTGTGGAATTCAGACAATTTGGCAGAAGT